ACTTGAAAAATCTTTTACTCATCTACAAAAGCGAATGAAAAAAACTGCTAAATACATTCAAAATTTTGTCCTGAGTTTAAAAATACCTAGTGTTTACGTGCTTTTTTGCTTTTTTTTGCATGTTATAGGGCTATAGGTACAAGTAGGATATTGCGGTTTCAAAACATACATTTTTAAATTTATCAATAGTGACATTGTAACACTATTATCTGTCATAAATCTCTGAATAACACCCCACATGTACATATTTTTTTTAAAGTAGACAACCCAGGGTATTCAATCTGGGGTATGTCCAGTCTTTTTTAGTAGCCACTTAGTCGAAAACACTGGCCAAAGTTAGCATTCATATTTGTTTGTGTGTGAAAAAAGTAAAAAACTAAATTGAGCGCTAATTTTGGCCAGTGTTTGTGACCAAGTGGTTACTAAAAAAGACTGGACATACCCCATTTGCAATACCTTGGGTTGTCTTCTTTTGCAAATGGTATGCCATCATGGGGGTATTCTCATTCCTGGGCTACCATACGCTCTCAAAGGCAACGTAACCAACCTGGCCATTTTCAATGTAAAAATATTTGACCCATATATTTGACCTTGTAGCTTTCAAAAATGCTATAAAACCTGTACATGGGGGGTACTGTTTTACTCGGGAGACATCGCTGAACACAAATATTAGTGTTTAAAAAACTGGAAAACGTATCACAACAATTATATCATCAGTAAAAGTGCTGTTTGTGTGTGAAAAATGCAAAAAAAGTCACTTTCACTGACAATATCATCGCTGTGATATGTTTTACTGTTTTAAATCACTAATATTTGTGTTCAACAATCTCCAGTAAGCAATACCCCCAACTCTTCCCAAATTTTAGAAATATCATAGAAACGTTACAGGTAAAATACAGTGCTAACAAATTAAATTCTCTGCAAATTTCGTACAGGTTGGCAGGCAGGTCCCCTCAAATTGCAATCAATAAAATTACTGAATTATGTAAAAATATTACATAAATACCTTGCGTAGAATTTAAATATATATGCATATTTATATAGTTTAAGTCTACGTGTATATTTATATAATTATTTATGTAATTTTGTATATGGACATATGTATATTTCGTATTATTTTTATTTATTTATATATACATAGATATATATACAAATTCATTTTAAGTGTATTTTGATATAAATATATATATTAATTTTAAAATACAGTTAGAATAAAATTTCATATAGATATATAATTTTTTAAAATTATTTTATTATTATTTTAAAAAAAAATATTTAATTTAAATTACTTATTATTTATATTTTATAATAATATATATATACAATATATATAGTTATTATATATATTATATATATACGTGTGTAATTTAATTATAAGTGTATTTTTATATTAATATAAGTACATATTAATATAAAAATACACTTAGTATGACATTATATATATGTGATATATAGACATATATTATATAAATATAATATATGTCTATATATCATATATACACATATATAATTTTTTTATTTTTTTTTCTTAACACTAACTTTATTTTTTATTTTTTTTTACACTAGCAGGGAGACTGCCTGTCAGCACAGGCAGTCCCCCTGCAGGCAGACACATGGACACCTATTGTGACCATGTGATCGCTGTGTTGAGCGATCACATGGCCACAAGGGGTCCTAATCCAGTGTGGGGAGACTGTCTGGGCTGCAGGCAGTCTCCCCACAACGAGCTTAAGCTGATTACGCGGAGAACGGCAATCGGAAATATACCTCTGACGTTAGGGCGGTTCAGGACGCGTCATCGGTAAACCCAAACGCAAAAATACCCGATGGCGGTCCTGAACCGTCCTCGATGGCAGAGAAAGAGGATAATGTAGTGGTTCACAATTGTCTATAGCCTGTCCCTGCAGGCCTTTTATTGTAAACCGCGGCAGCACTGTGTTGGTTAACATGGCAGCAGATCCTTATGGGTGGGGCATTGTGATGTCACATGGGAAGCGGCAAACTTTACTTTTGCCTAGAGGCGTAAAAAATCCTTGCACCGGCCCTGCAGACGCAATGAACTGGAGGACTCGGGTGCAGGCACCGGGGGGCCCAGACCTTGAGCTGTGTCAGGGGCCCCAAAATTTCTGATGGCAGCCCTGGGCGCAATCCCACCAGATATGTTTAAAGGTGTCTACCGCTTCTTCGCATCGCCAGCATGTATCTGGGATCTGGGGGTCTCTGGCGTGGAGGCTTGATGGGGTTATGTACCACCTGGTAAGGATTTTGTATGAGTTTTCTTGTAGTCTCGCCGAGCCCGGCGTTTTCTGTACGTGGGTAATGATCTTGTCCCAGTCTGCGTCCGTTAGGGACTCATGTAGGTCCTCCTCCCAGTGTCTGATGCATGGGGGTGCCAGGATGTATCTGTTTACTATTATGGCTGAGTAGATCTGTGATATGGCCCGGGCTGGTTCCTGGTCTTGTGTGCATAGCTGTTCGAATTGCGTCTGTTCTCGTAGTAGGTATGGCTTTTGGGGGATTGATCGGGCGTATTGCGCGATCTGTGCTCTAGCTAGGGTGTGTGTGAATGTGTGTGGCTGATCTGGAAAGAGTTCGGTCGTTGGGCGGACGGCAAACGGCCATTAAAGTACGTCTTTGATGCGTAGGGTTGGTATGTGTCTGGTGAGACCCGGTATTGGGCCCTGATCTCCCACTGGGAAGTCTGGGTTGCCTCTCAGAGGGAGTAGTGGGCCTGGATCCGTCGTCAGGTATTGTTTCGTGCCCTGTCTGTGCCAGATCCGCATGGTCGCTGTCACAAATGGGTTCAGTACTTGTTTGTGTCGGTATGCGGCTTTCGTGATCCATGGCAAGGTCCTTAGGTCACATTTGGTAGTGTCTGATTCCAACTGGGTCCATATTTCCGTGCTGCCCTCCACTGACCAGCTTAGGATCCAGTTAAGGTACGTTGCCTGGTAATATTTTTCGAAATCCGGCAGCGCCAGCCCCCCTCGGAGTTTGGGCAGCGTCAATTGGGAATGAGCTATGCGCGGGGATCTGCCCTTCCATACAAACTTGCGGACCTCCAACTTCAGGGTACAGAAGAATGAATCCGGAGCCAGTATCGGTACTGTCTGGAATATGAAGAGAACTTTAGGTAGCAGCGTCATCTTGATCGCGTTCACCCTTCCTAGCCAGGAGATGTAGTATGAATTCCATGTGCGTAGTTCTTCGATCGCCTTTTTTAGGATAGGGATGTAGTTATGGGCATATAGATCTGCCGGGTTCGGTGTAAGCCAGACTCCCAGGTATCGCATGTGTTGGCCGCACCAACGATATGGGTAGTGTCGCTGGAGTGTCTGTCTGAGTGTGTGGTTGATGGAGAGACCTAGGATTTTTGACTTAGAAAAGTTAATTTGGAGATTCGAGACTCGACCATATGTTTCGAATTCCGACTGGATGGCTTGCAAGGTCGATTCTGGAGACGTGACTATGAATAGGAGGTCGTCCGCGTAGGCCAGGGTTTTGTGGTGCGTCCGTCCTATTTTCATCCCCTGTATGTCATCATTATGTCTGATTCGGTTTAGGAAGGGTTCTAGCGTCAGTGCAAAGAGCAGGGGTGATAGCGGGCAGCTCTGCCTGGTCCCATTATGGATCTGGAAAGGGTCTGTCAGTGCTCCGCTGATCCGAATGCAGGCTGTTGGACGTGTGTCTAGTGCCTTCACCCAGGAGAGGTAGTTTGGTCCGACGCCGAGATTCTGGATCGTGCCAAACATAAGGACCCAGTCCACTCTGTCAAACGCCTTTTCTGTGTCTGTGGACAGAAGGAGTGCTGGGGTCTTCAGCGATCTGGCGTGGGCTATGATGTTCAGGGCTCTGATGGTGTTGTCCCGTACCTCTCTCCCTGGGATGAATCCCGTTTGGTCCGGGTGTACTGTCGTGGGTAGTAGTGATGCAAGGCGCGCCGCCAGGACACTTGCCAGGAGTTTGAGGTCCGTGTTTAATACGGAGATCGGGCGGTAACTTGGGCAAAGTGTAGGGTCTTTACCTTCCTTAGGTAGAAGGGTGATGTTTGCCGCTGTGAACTGAGCCGTCGGTGTGGCCCCTTCCAGGATGGAATTGAGGGCCGTTTGCAGTTTCGGGAGGAGGTCTGTAGAGAAGGTCTTATAGTATGAGAGGGGGAAGCCATCAGGGCCCGGTGCCTTGCCCGTCTTTGCCCTTTTGATGGCGTGCGCCAATTCCTCGGTCAAGATGGGGGTTTTCGGGTTCTCCCGGTCAGTGTTTTCCAGTCTGGTTCCATTCGCTGTGTCCAGGTATCGCTGGATCTCATCAAGTTTGTGGGAGTGTGGTCCCTCTGGTGCGTCTTGGCGCAGGTGGTATAATCCTTGGTAGTAGGCAATAAACGCGGATGAAATTTGGTCCGGGAGGTATAAGTGTTGCTGTTGCGGGCCGTTGATCTTCGGGATGTACAGTTGGGACTTGCGCTGCTTTAGTAGGTTCGCCAGTAGCCTCCCACATTTGTTCCCATGTTCATATATTATGTGTTTAAAGTGTTGGTATGAGCGCTGTATCGAGCGGTTCAGGAGTGTGGAGAGTTGTTCCCTCTTGATAATCAGGTCCCTGTATGTCTCCGCGTCTAAGGTGCGTTTGTGCCTGGCTTCCAGGGCTGCAATCTCCTTACTGAGGGCTATCATTGCCTGCGTTGCTTCCCGTTTACGGGTGGCGCATGTCGTGATTAGCTGTCCCTGTATCACTGCTTTATGAGCCCCCCCCAACACATCAGGGGTGTGGTGTCTCCTAGCTCATTGTCTGTGAAGTATTCTTGTATGGACTGCCTGGTCTTGTCTACCACCAGTGCGTCTGAGAGGATCGATTCATTCAATCTCCAGGAGTTTTGTCGCGGTCTGTATAGGGGCGATTGTATTGTTATTCGGATTGGGCAGTGGTCCGACCATGTCATGGGTAGTATTTCCGCCTCTTTGAGTAGAGCGAGGTTGCGGTGTGGCACGAGGAAATAGTCTAGTCTAGAGTATGAGGAGTGCGTCATGGAGTAGAAAGTGTGCTCGCCAGCAGTCCGCGAGTTGATGGTAGTGGATAGTGGGGAGGGTTCTGGCGTTTCTATTTTCCGGTGTGGACCCTTGTTTGGCTGTCGAGTCTTGCTCGGGGTGTAGTGTCAGGTTTAGGTCACCACCGATGATTAGGGTGCCTTCCGTGAATTTCATCAGTGTGTTGAGCACGGTGCGTAGGAAGTGGTGTTGCTTTGAGTTTGGGGAATAGAGGTTGGCGAAGGTGTAAGTCTGGTCTAGAATGGTGCCTCTCGTAAAGATATATCTGCCTTGTTTACACCTGTGCGTCGCTTGTTCTATATACGGGATCCGGCTAGAGAAGAGAATGCCTACTCCTAGTGTACGCCAGTCTGGGTTGTTGCTAAAGTATCCCCGTCGATAATAGCGGTCTTTCAGTGCTGGAGCTCGGCCTTCCTGCAAGTGTGCTTCCTGGAGAAACGCTATGGATGCCTTGTAGTGTTTAAGGTCCTGCAGAAGCCTGGAGCGCTTCTCTCGTATGTTGAGGCCATGTACGTTGTAGGAGACGATTGATAGGTCCTCCCAGGCGAATCGGTCCGACCCCGGGGCCCGCATCCCTGGTGCGGCCAGGGGTGGCCAAGCGGTATAGCGTGGGGGCGGAGGGGTGGTTTTGTCTGACTTGGGGGTAGTGGGTGTGTGCTGTCTATGTGCTGTTGTGGATATATCTGGGTGTATGGCCAAGTTAATTGTGGTTCTTACTGCAACGTCTGAACCTAGTTCGGTGTAGGATAATGGACAAGTGTCTCGGTTATCAGGCTTCCTATTCCAGCTGTGTGCTGGGGTTGGGTCTGATCCGAGATTGGAGTCTCACCCTTTAATGGGGGATCGCTGTGTCCTATTCCTATTAGGGCGGCAGGTTGCCGGTCTGGGATGATGGGCCCTGCCCTGTGCTGTCGTGATTTAGTCCGTTGTACTATGGGCTTGTCTGAGAAATTTGTCTGCTGTTTGAGGTACGTGGGTGTCTGTCCCCTATGTGACCTTGGTTCTATTTTGTCTGCTGCACCTTTCGATGTGGTGCATGTGTGGGTCGTCTGCTGCTTGTGGTCAGTTTCATAGCAATGGGTCTAGTTTGGCTTGCGTCCATCTGCCTTGGTGGTTTCTGCGTCCTGGTCTCTCGGGGTTCTCGTGTCAGGGTCCGGGGTTTGGGCTTGCGGCCGTATGTTTAGGGCAGGTGTTGAACTCTAGTTCCTATGTTTGTTTTGGCGTGCTGTTTTTCTTGGGTCTAAATGTGGCCCCTGAGGGGGGGTTGTTGGGCTCGGAGGTCCCATTGGTGGCGAGAGCCGCCCGTATATTTATCTATGGTCACTCTGCGTTGCGTGCTTGGGTGTAGGGGGCTCCGTTTGTTCCTCTGTGCCCTAGCGGCCGTCTCCTCTGCCATGGTTACTGTGTATTGTGGGAGTTGGCAGTGTCGTACGGGTGCATTCGGGAATGGTGTGTCGTGTATAGTAGCAGTCTCGAATCGACCTAGTGGTTATTCGATATATGCTGCTGTGGAACCGATTTTTCGACTAGGGCTTTCAGCGTCTATTCCCTCGTTCTTATGCCTCTCTACAGTTACTGTGCCTGCGTAGGAAGTTGGGCACTTAAGTAGCAGAGATGTGGGTATTTTACCCTTATCTGTATGGTATCAGTGGTTGCGTGTGCGTGATTGTGACTGTAACAACAAGCCCAGTATGACTGCAAAAGACAAATGAATGATACAGCCGTTCGGTATTTTTGTAAGCATTCACCATGCGAATGCTTACCTGCCTTAACAGACCACCCTGACTGCTAATTATGGCCAATTTACCTCCCTGGTTGATGGGCACTTTATTCGAATCAACCGCACGAACGCTATGGGAACTGTAAGCTCAGCCGCCATTTCGGGACTTACACGTGTTCGCGGCCATTTTAACTCCCGAATAGCGGTGTTTGCCGATGAATGTCTGGAACTAAAATCGGACACTCAAACAGGCGAACACCGCTGAGATCTCCATACCTTCGGGAAAATATCACCAAATCTACCGAACGACCGGGCGTTCGGTAGAAAGGATTAACAGAAGATGGGGATTTCAGCGAACCCAGGATGGTATACGGATGGCTGGCCGTTCAGGGCCAGCATTCATGGAACTGTTTTCGGCTACTGTACCCGTGCGGTCGGTCAAAACTTCTAAGTCCTATATCTCCCGAACGGCTAAACCGATTGAGCTGATTTTTTTATATGTTGGTACCTGAAATATAAGCTACATGGGGTACATCCAAACTTTGGGGAAAAACTGTTCTTTTTTAATTATGTTATGTAGTTATCTGAGGGGAGGGAATTTACCGAATGTATATTGTATGGATTGGTTGTACTGCTAATTATGTGGGTGTCTCCCTTGCATGGGCAGAATCCCATAAAAGCAGAGTGTGTGTCATTAAACATTAGTTCTTCTTGACCCTTCAAAACGTAGCCTCGTCTCGTTCTTGAAAGGGGAATCTCTGCAGCTTAATCACTTAGCTCTTTTCAGAGCTGCACCTGGCTCCCACTCTTGATCCAGCAGAAGGGAATAGGCGACTCCATCACTACACAGCGACTGCCGGGAAGAAAAGGACATCCCTAACGGCTGGTACACTCTCTAGACCAGGGTAGCCGTTAAAGAGACCTTATATTTGGCTGCCGTCAAGTGATGATGGTGAGACATAGCTGTTTGCCGTGTGATTGTGTCTCGAGCTGTGGTGTGTTGCGGAGCCATATTTCTATCGAAGATCCCCCCCCCTCCCCCTTCCCCCTCTGTCCCTTTTGCGTACATGTTTAAGCTTCAAAACAGTGTGTGAGGTTTGGGCTATTGTGTCGGGTAGGGGTCTCTAGGCTTTGGGTGCAGGTCCATTTGTGTGTGCATATGGGTATCTGCGAAGGTCGTGTATGGGTTCAGCCTTTGAGTCTCCCACGGGTACGTCTTCCATGGCGATCCTAGGGAGAGCGTCCTGGTAACCATTCCCGCCCCCCCCTCCCTTCCTCGTCGTGCCTACTTCCCGCCCTTCCCTCTCCTCTCCCCCCACCCTTTTGTCCTTTCCATGTAAGTCCGTGTTGTAGTGGTGAGCCATGCGTCCCGTCCCCCTCCCAATAGCTGTTGGATTCCACCCATGTGGTACGTGGGTCTGCTGGTTGACAATATGGCTGATCTCTTTATGCTTGCCCAGTGTCTTGTATAGACTGCCTCCCCCGTCCCCCCACCCCAATCCCCGTACGTTAAGTTCGAGTTCTGTCATTTGTCCCCTTGCAGAGTACTCACAGTTCGTTGTGTTCGTCTGCGGTTAAGTGGATCCCCTTTCTTTTGCCGCCAAGGCAGTGTGGTACGGTGTGGGCTTTACATCTCGTGTCTGGCTCGGCCAGGGCGCCCATCGCGGTGGCGTTGTGGCTGGGGTCTTTGCTGGCTCGGGTCGCGTCCTTGCTGCTGCTAAGGTCTGTATGGTTGTAGGAGGAACGACCTCGCCAGCCAGTTGGGGACCGTAACCGGTGGGAGTCCCAGGGTGCGCATAAATACAGGGACGTCATCAGGTTTCCGTATCGTCAGGTAATCCGGGCCGTCTCGGGCTGAGAGGGAGAAGGGGTAGCCCCAGCGGTACTGTATGCAGGTATGTTGCAGGAGGGTGGTGATTGGGCGCAGGGCACGTCTGGCTTGTAGTGTGTAGCGGGAGAGGTCTTGGTAAATTGCTATTGTCTGTTCTTCCAAGCGGATGGTGCCTATGCGTCTTGCTGTGCGCAGAATTTCTTCCTTCAACTGAAAATTATCTAGGCAGCATACTATATCTCTGGGCTGATCCTCCGGTGTGGGTGGAGGTCGCAGTGCTCAGTGAGCCCTGACTAGGCCCAGTCTGGGCATGTTCTGATTGCCCAATACCTGGCTGAAGATCTGCCTCAGGAGTTCTGGGATGTTTTCGGCTGGGCCCCCCTCTCTTACTCCGCAGACTCGCAAGTTCATCCTGCATCCGCGGTTATCTAAATCGTCCACCCACGTGGTTAGGTGGGCTATGTCAGCTTCTTGGGTGGTAACCGCGGTGTTTGTGTGTTCGAGGTCTGTGCAGAGCTCCCTGGTTTCAGCCTCTGCCACGGACATCCGTGCCTCCACGTTCAATAGGTCTGCTCTCAATTGGGCCACTTCCTCCCTGACCACGTGGCCCAGTCGGTCGGAGAGGGCTTCAAAGTCTGCCTTTGTTAGTAGGTTAGGCAGTATCGCCCTCCATTCGCCGTCCAGTTGCAGCTGTTGTTCCGGCATCGGGGAGGGTGACAGCGAGAATCTCGGTGAGGTAGAGGGAGAGGAGTCCCTGGTCGGGCTTGCGGCCTCCATCTCACGCTGCGGCTTCCTGTCGCGGGCCGTGGAATGCAGGAAGGACCTGATTGTTTGCTCGCCTCCCGGTCCCGTCGATCTCGGGGTGCTGGTGGCGTCCCTCAATCTTTTGTGACCCATCTGGGTTATTTGCAGAGTGTAAGGTGTGTGCTTTATGCTGTTTGATCGCGGGTGCCACGAGGAGCTGAGCGGTTATGCGGCCATGTTCTCCGGCTGCTGGGCACGCCCCCTGCCATGAGCAATTGGGATGTCAGGTAGTTTTCCTTTTGATTTAAATCATGGAGTGGCAGCATAAATAATAAATGTTCGGGTGTGAAGGGTATCTGTTTATGCATAATGGTCTGTATGAGTTTGCGTATGCGAATCCAACATTTTTTAATTTTAGGGTATTGCCACCAGATGTGTGTCGGATTTGCCTCCCCCTGCCCGCATCTCCAGCAAATATTTTGTGTTCCTGGGAACATTTTGCTTAGTTTGGAGGGTGTGTAGTGCCAGCAGGTCAGGCGTTTATAGTTGCTTTCCTGATTTGTGGTTGCAATGGACGTTTTGTGGGTTCTAATAAAAATTTGCTTCCATTGCTCTCCTGAGATGTCTATATTCATTTCTCCAGTTCACTTGGATGTGGCATTCTATATTTCTATGTTTCTATAGGATCTGGTTTAATATTTGGTGCTACCTGGTTTCTGATATCTTTTCTTCACTGTAATTTTTTTGGTGTTTTGAGGGAACCCGATATTGTCAGGTGTCCTGCCTTTTTTGCGTAGATGTTAAGTGCTTTCCCTTCTTCCTTTTCTGGCTTACCCTTACTCGTCCATCAGATGCCCGCAGATTTGCTGAACAGCTTGGTCTCCCGGACCTCCACATGGAAATGGCATCAACCTCGCAAGGCCTGGCTCCTCTCTCTCAAGTTTACGGAGCATCTTCAATCAAGGAACCATCGGCCTTCCAGAAGACAGACTGTGGCTTCTCCCATTCAACACTAAATGGACTTGCTCTCAATCTTTCCCCAAGTGCCCTTCGAACAACCTATACCACTTTTACTTATCGTGTCATCTTTCTACCAGGACTAGTGGACCTTACCTTACATTATCGGCAGAGACTTTCTCTCACCTTGGAATTCTACACAGACCAGCTACATAAATCTTGCAGATTGTTGGATAATACAAGGCACTTTTCTCCATCACCTACCTCTGCTTTCACTTAAAACTCTCCCTACTTGCTCTTCTCACTGTCTTCTCCATACGCTCCTTTCCTAACCTACAAATACACCAAACCTTTTTCGCTCTGTCTCTCTTTTGTTGGATCGCAACTAATGCTGATTTGTGTGCAGAGGGGGGTCTGTGTTTGTCATGTCTTACCTGTACTAGAGTGCTTGGGATGTACTGATGCCCTCAGCCCCGTCTCCATGGCCCCCATCAGCTATTACACCAGCAGAATTATTGCCCTCATACTCAGATCACGTAAAAAGCCTTTTACACTTGCCTCCCTCCTGCAAACTCCTGCTTTTTCTTCATTGACTTGTTCTCATAAGAAATCCCCCACCTCCCAAAAAACAAATCCTGACCCCCATTAGCCTCTTACCAGTTTTCCCACCTACTTAAGGATCGTGAGAGTGAGGACGGGGTGGAGAAGTTTGAAGTGAGGTTTAACTGTTGGCGTCACATTATTCTTATTATCTGGGTTCTGGCTATTTATTTGGATGTACTGGATGTGTGTTCATTGCATTGGCCGAGTATGGACAGGGTGGCACCTCTGCTTCGGGCGACAGGTGGAAATGCTGGGGGGGGGGGTCATATGGCATCAGTGACTCCCCTCCACGGATCATGTTTGGGGGGCAGAGAGGACTCCGGTGGGGTTATACTCCATCCAGGGTGGGTTGGTGCAGTGGACATGTGTCCGGCGTGTTCGGGTGAGCGGTCTCTGCCTTAGCCATGTTGAACCTTGAACTCCACATAATTTGAATATGTTCTAGTCGGTGTAAACAACAACAATTTTTTTAAATGTATTTGTGACCATCATCGACTATTTATAATAACTCATTCCCTCCACATTATCCTTTTGTGCTCCCCAGAGCCCCTTGAAGCGTGATCCCCTTCCTCTCAGAGAGTAGTGATCTCATCAGCCTCCCCCACCCCTTTCCTCTTATATTAGCTGATCTTTGGGTTTACCACAACCTTTGGACCACCGATTATTTATTTTGTCAGAGGTGTTCTTGCGGTCAACTCTTCATGTTATTGTATGATAGACCTCTTGAACCCCTCCATCAGGCACTCCTGGCAGTAGGAAATTATTGGAGTACATGTTCTATACCTTATATCTGTTTCTACCCTAACTGACCCAACTCCCTTCTCCAGCGAATGGCACCTCTCCCCCCTTTCCCCACACTTGTGTCTTCTAATCTCCTGTGTATGCCTGCATGCGGCTTGGGGCATCCTCCTGTTATGGCGTGGGGGGGGGGGGGCACTTGCAACCCTCCACACACACTTTTAACATTGGCTTGGAGGTGCCTGGGGTGTGCACACATCTTTCCAGCTCCTAAATTTAATATTGAATGCACGTATGGTTTTATATAAAGTTTATCCTCACACTTTGTAGGCGCATGCCTGTGCCTCTGCCCATCATGCATCCCATGACACTCTATCTCTATGGATATTACTTTTTAGATTTTTTTTTAAAATTAAATAAAGGATTCTGGTTTTACAATAATTTATTGTACCATTACCTCCTTATTTCAATTATCTATTTATACTTCCTGGGATTTTAACTATTTTTAACTATTTTATTTACTACTCTCATCACTCCTACTCTCAAGAACATCCTAGGTGGGGATCATACCACCAATGCTATCATCATAGAGCAGTGGGTCTGCTCTATGCTTGTGAGTACAATTTTACTTATTTTATGTACCTTTATTTATATTACTGAGAGCACTGTTTTTGGCTATTTTTTCTTTCTTTCCTGAGCACCTGAGCACCTAGACAACCAACTACTGTAAAAGACGATCATCATATCCCATAAGTGGGGATTATACCACTATATGCGATATACACTTAGAGCTGGTCATAGCTCTTTCATATGTAAGTGCAATATCTTTATTATTAACGTGCTGTCTGTTAAGCCCTGACATAGTGCACTATGGGTTTGCCTTGTCTTCTCTCTATCCACATATGGAGACTGAAGACATTGAGACCTTCCACATCCCCCAAGTAAAAAGAACTCAAGAACCACAGCTGCATTAGAGATACTTTCATATGTGACTATCTGCACTGTTGAGATGAGTATTCAATACTATTACTCTCTGTGGCGCAGCCCTTCCCTACTTTTATTCTTTTACTCTATCTCTACCAGGTTTCTGGGCCTCTGGGCACTCACACATGTAGCGATTTCACTTTTCTCCCACTGGCCATGATTATAAGGCCAGTGGTATTCCCATCCTCCAACTCTACCTACAGCTTTTTCAGCTTCGGTGTCCCAATAACTAGACCCCTCCCATTGTCAACCATTTCCTCTTCCCATCCCTCTCCTTCCCCTCGGGCTCCTTCATTGAATACTCACTCTCATTTACAAGATGCTCCTTAAGATCCACTGTGTCTTCATAAATGCAAAGGGCCTCAACAACCCTAAAAAATGACATGCCCTACTAAAATGGGCCCATAGACATAGATCAGACATCCTTATGGTGCAGGAAACCCACTTCTTTCGACGCAAGCCTTTCATTATTATACTAATCCATGACTTTCTGAGATCCTGATTTGGATGTTTGAACCCACTACTCTTACATGGCGCCTAGGCACAGTATTTAATGCTCTCTTGAAATGAGAAGTACAGACAACATGACCCAAACCAACATCACTCTAATCCCCAAACCCGGAAAGGACCATAGTCACTTCCACTCTATCTCTCTCCTCAACGTCAACTTGAAACTGCTGTTGAAAATGACGATCAGACTGAACCCCTTTCTGGCAAGCCTAATCCACTCAGACCAAGTAGGTTTCATACCTAACTGACAAACCCTTGACAATACAAGATGTAACATTGAATTAGTGGTGAGAGATTGTCAATGGCTGTGGTCTTTCAATGCCGAGAAGGCATTTGATCATCCTTTCTTATAAAGGAACACTTTGGATTCCCGATTTAATTCAGATGCTTCCTCCAGGCAACATATCATAAGCCCCAGAGGATCATTGTTGATTCCTCATATCCCCCCACTTTTTTCCCCCATATGTAATAATACTGCCAGAAATGCCCCCTCTTCCCCCTATTATTCCTCCTTTCCTTGAAAGCACTGTGATCCACTTGAAAGCAAGATTGCTGGTTTGACTCAATGCACATATTATTGCCTGTATGCAGGGGCGGACTGACAACTCACAGGGCCCTCGGGCAATAGGAGATCAAGGGCCCCCCACTTGGTGCAAAGCTTTTTTTTTTGGCTACTACTCCTTCCCCTTCTTTGTGAGGCTCTCATACAGATATTATGTGCGTCCTGCCCAGTCATGACTTCCACCAGCAGGGCCCCCAAACAGGACCAAGCTCTACTTTTAATGGGATAATCTAACCAAAAACAATGTTTTAGTAAAACATTGTTTCTGAATGGAGTAACCTTTACTGGAATGCCTTCCTCCCCAATTAAAATGAAGAAAAATTACAAGCTTCCACTCTATTTGCTGGTGGCATCATGAGCAGCGTCCCTCACATGTTCAACCATACAAGTAGCCTCCAAACATTTGACCAGAGGATACCGGTGAGGTTGCATGAGTGGCATGCTGCTTGCGCTGTTGTGTTCCTATATGTCAACGTGTTGTGTTAGAATTGTTTGTCTTGTTTTACATTGGTCCTATATAATATTGTGTGTGTGTGTGTAAGGAGGCTGTATGCAGTATTGCAATGGTGGGGCTGCTGCTTGTAATGTGTGTAGGGAGGCTGTATGT